CCTGCAAAACCGCAAGATTCAGCCGATAAATTTGCGGAAACTTCAAGAATGAATTCCATAGATTAACTGGTTGAGGTTCAGTCAATAACAATACTTCAGTCGTGTATCCGACTCACAAACAGCAGATATCCACCAGCCGAGATACCACAGTTTTGATTGGTAAAGCTTGTTTGGTTTGATGGGGAAAGACGTTAAAAACCCCAACACGTGGTTAGCAGAGAAGTTTCAAGAGATGAGGGATAATACCACATGAAATTTAATCATCATGGGGAGCTGCAGAGCTGGATGAAACGAATTTGAACTTTCGATCAACAGGATGGTGTGAAGAATGATTTGAAGGTAAAGATTTGGACTGTTGATAGGGCGTTGGGGAAACCTGAGTTCTGACAGAGTTGTGAGGATAGTTAACAATTCCCGGTTGGACACTGCCGAAAGTTAGTTGTTATTGAGTTACCTAAAAGAATCTGTATTAGTTATGGTGCCGCGTGACACCTGAGTCGATGGGATATCTCCTTGGGGCCAGTCACATATGGCGTTCACAGCAGTATGAGATTTAACTTTGCCTTAAATCCAGCTAGAAAACTAATACAGACACAAATGCAAGGCAACAGGGCAGGAAGGAATGTGCTATTTTGGGGGAATGACCTTCACTAACCCCTTCTCTCCATAAGAAAGGTAACATCACCAAGGTCTGCTAGTTATCTGCAGGAAACATTTCAGTCAAACTTACCTCCAGTCAGCAGTACGATCGCGCTCCCAAACCCCATGACACCCGTGATTAAAGTAGGACCTCGCAAACAACTGCATCGCTTCAAGTCGCCAGCTTCACAGCAGTACACAAATAATAGGTGGATAGAAAATGACTGATATCAAAGTAGACAACGTCTTGTAAGAGAATAGGCAAGTTGAAGATAAAGGTTGGTGCAAGTATTCGAGCTTTACATGACTAAAAAGAGTGAAAACAACTGCGTTACTGTGACCAATTCTCAGCCGTGTCACCAAGATATCTCAAATACTGATTCCTATAATCCCGGGGACTCCAGCTAAGTAGTCTGCATCTCCCAACACGCCTCAGACCAACAGTCAGAGACTTCATCGACTTGCGCCACGTCTTGGTCTGGTCATCGTGAAACTCTCTTCCAACCTAATCCAGCTCTTCTAGCATGATACATTGAGGTAGGTAGTGGGACGGGATGCGCAGCACATGTTCATGCCATCTCAGTCGATGAAGGTTCACAGCCTCATCAATCGACGTGCCTGCCTTGCTTAGTTCCCTTCGCCCCGTCTCAACATTGCTCATACGGTGATTTAACCAAACGCCAGCAATGCTACGAAGACACCTATGATCAAACATCTGTAATCACTTCATGTTTCCTACTTTTAACAGACAACGAAATGTAATGCAGTATACTCGTTTTCTGATGGTCGTATTTCTCGCCAGTCGGCGCCACAGATAACGCAAGTTGACAAATACCCAACAGGTCCTTTGTATTTAAACTGAGATTTTGTCACCAACCACACCATTCGAGCTAATGCAACTCCCCAAGTAAGTGACGTGGTCGACACATTCCACCACTTCACTCCATATCCTTAAACTGGAAGTAGTTGGAGACCAGTGCCGGAGCATCATCTTACATGTGACAGGGGGCAGTGAAGCACATGTCAAACATGCTAAGATTTCTGCTCAACACGTTCACAAGACCCTGAAGTTTGTCAGCATCTTCAATTCAAATCGGCAGCATGACCTCCAGGGAGTAGATCAATCGCTATGAAGTCAAATGTACCAAAAGTTACGTACATTTGTAAGTTTATGACGAAGTTAAACAGGAACGGTGACAGTGGGCATCCCTGAGCGACACCACTAGTTGTCATCAATCTAAATGACAACTCTCAATAAGCCGCTACACGGTTGCGTGAGTTTGAGCAGAGAGCTTTGATAAGCATTATGTACTTGCTCGATACTTCCATCCAGTAAGACTACCACAAAACCCCAGGATCAACACAGTCGAATACCACTTTCAGGTCAAGAAATATGGTAAGTGTCGTCCGCCGGTAAACACGTTTATGTTCCAGAACCTGTCGAATGGTGAAAATCTGATCAACGCACTCTTTCAGGTCTGACACCAGCCTGATTTTCTCGAGTTTGCCGTTCTCAAATTTCAGTTAGGCATCTTGATAACTGTAGACCCAAGGATCTTGGACACGACGTTAGTTACACTGATCCGCCTATGGTTGTCTTAACAGGTTTCTCCCTTCGTGTACACTGGAATAAGTGAAATAGACTAGTCTGATGGGACTAATTCTGTTTCCCATACACTACCTAAGGCCTCCGTTACTTTGTTCAGTTGTTTTTAACTTCCATCTTCCATAACTTCATGTGGCAAACCATCAGGTCCCAACGATGTAACATCGTTTCGGGTTCGATACAGCCTTCCCAAGCTCAAACAGACTTAGATTCAGGTTCACGCTGGATTTTGGGCAACTGAAGCGTTTAATTAGCAACCCTTGGCGCAACAGAACTGACAGTAGGGTTGGAAACATTATTAAGACAATACTAGACAAGAGAATTGATATCAGTTACCGCAATGCTATTATTTTTTCACGTCATATATTTTCGGAAATACTTAATATACCCTTTCTGATGGACAGACGACAGCGCACTCAGTCATTTTGTGCACATTAGGCAATGAACTGAACCTACTGTGTGGTGGTACTACCTTTCTGTCTTGACCTTGGTAAGTGGAGCGGGGTTCGAACCCGTGACTGCTGGATGACGATGGACTCCTTAAAACACACTTACAGCTCCGTACTGTCAGACAGATATTAACTGTCTCGAACTATTTCATCATTTTATTACTGTCCACTTCTGGCTTCCCTTTTATTTTCATCATATCCTAGTTTATCTCTTAATGTGCACTTAATACCTAATTTCTATCAATAAAAAGAAAAAAATTAAGACATGAAAATAAAACTGACTTGCATAAATTCGAACTACAGAACCAGCTATTGCACTTAATTTGGAAAAGTACAATGAATGTATAGTAGCGCCTGACTGATATATGAAACATTCAGTACTTCTATTTATTCAACCCAGCACTTCTCAAATGGATACTTCGGAAGTAAACAGCAGGATACCGCAAGCTGGATATCAAGACTGACCCTTATTCTACAGCAGCAGACATCCTAAAATGCTTTTGATAAAAATGGTAGGTGCTGCTTTGTCAGGGCGGTTCAAATGTAAATCTCACACTTAGCAAACATCTTCAACATGAAAATACAGAAACAATCATAGTAACTCCAGTTCTTTTCTAAGTTTTTGCTTTGTACTCCAGTGCTGGCTGAAAATCGGCCACGGTGGAGCAGATGTCGCCGGAATTTTAAACACTTTTATCGTTTGCTTTCAAATTCTTTTTCTTCCTCAATACCCTTTTTTACTTTAATATCAATATTTTTCTAACCTTTTTTATTTGCATGCTACTGTGAAGTGTGACGACTTGAACCAATGCATCGCTGTGCGATGTACTATGTAGATTTTATTTGTCTGTCTCGCAAGCTATTCAATAAGTCTTTATGTCAGACTCAAATTCCGACAGACGAAAGAGTACATAAGCAGCCCAGTTCACAAGACAGATAATAGGTAACGGTGATAGGACTATCATCCCGTTATGATAATTTACTTGGTTGTGGCTAGCAGAGGAATCCGGATGCACGTCTGGTCCTATGTGGGACTCATTAGCTGGATGTACCCGCTAGTCACACGTATTGCACACTGGATTAGTGATGTCTCAAGTTTGAATGAGACTGTGACACAGGCCTGGGCCGAAAAGCATCTGTGTCAGGAGGTGCAGTTGATGGGATAGCAAGTGTCAACCTGTGAGGATTGGGTTTCTCAAGGAACAACCTTAGATTTGGCAATTTCAGGTCTATTCCAACAAACTCTCAGATTTCATCAAGTTTCCGATGTTATTTATATGGAAAGTTACTTCTAATGAGGTGGACACACATGCATTACAAGTGGACTCATATGAAGTGGTTAATTGATGAATACAGTTGTTTAGAAATCAATCCTAGCAAGCGAGTAGTTACACGTATGTCATAGCAGTTGCTCTAAGTATTTGATACATGCGACGCTTGACATCCAAAACATTAAAGATTTGGGAATGATCATCAGTTATGATTTCAAGACATCTGCAAACTGTAATGGAAGTGTAAGATTTTGGGTACCATCTCTTCGCAGGGCATTCAAATGCTCTCAGGAAAATAAGTTTCGGATGTATGTTTGTGCAACTGCACCTCAATTACTGCCTTCCAGTGCGAATTCCTGTTTCATAAAAGGTGTCCGAGCGCCTGACCAGGTACTGTAGAGCGCTAAAAGATTCGATCCTAAGTCAGTGGCTGGTCTATCAAACCCATCACAAGAAGATCGTTCGAAACGAATAAATCTGTTCCCACTATTAATGTAAGAGTAAAACTTGGGTACTACAGTAAAGTATAGTTAAATAGTATACTTCTTGCTTTATACAGCATACAGAGATACAGTAATAAAATAAATAATACCGTATTACTGAGTGCTATATTAAGTAAATAGACTAATGTGGCAGTTTTTATTATCTTTCTGCAGCAGGACAGGCGACCTAATATTGGCGCTCTGTATCTTCAACAATAGCGCTGAGAGTGATTTGCATAATTTACACTTGCTCAAGAATGGATTATCTTGAATACCACCTTCAGAAAATTAAAAAAGCACAGTCGAGTAAATTTAGCGTAAAGACCAAAACTCCTTATATGATCTAGTTGTATCAGATTTTTCAGTGGACGCATTCAAGAAGAAAGTAGACACTTACAGGGGGATTTACTGCAATGATTAACAACGGCTAACAACGATGATATATTCCTTAGTACTTAAGAAAAGTTGTGGATTTAACTTTTATGTTAGTACACAACTCTTTATTCCTTCTACACGCATATTATAACCGTGAATATACGCTTTTCTCTCTTACCTGAATAACCCACTCACAGTGTTACTATAAGCTATCCCCAAATCGAATTTGGCTGACTCCTGATTCCAAACGACCTTGAACCACATATGTGAAGTGGGTATCTCTTATCTAATCGTGCTCAGGTAGTCTGCTATGTGGAATTGGCTGAAATGTATGTAATATACTCCAAATAATGGGATATTTTGTTGTAAGAGATTTTTATTGTCAACAAGTACCTTTTGGACACAAGTGGTTGTAGCATCACACACTTCCCCAAAATCAATAGCCTAGGGTTTGACGACTTTCGACATTGATGCTGACCTTGATAGTTTAACTGGACTCGTTAAGCTGAAGGCACCCGGTCAAGCATCCTCGCCATTTGGCACGCTGTCGTGTTACGTTGCACTGCTTGCATTCGACTCCCTAGCCAGTTAGTTGGAACGCATCGGTATTTTGGCACAACCATCCAAATATACTATTCCATCCGACTACCCTATCGTGTTCTTCCTTGGTCCCGTATTCTTGGGTATATAACAAGTCCGAATAATCAGTGGTTGGTCTTTGCATCAGGACAAATCGTAAATGGTTGATTTTTTTGTTTTTTCAGGAAGTATATATCAAGATACGTAACAATGACTCTGATCCCGTATGTTTCTACCTTTCATTGAGCACCAGTGGGTTGTGTAACATTATTGTGCACTGAGAATTGTCAATTCCCCTGTAATGCTTGCTACTGGATTTTCCTTTTGTTATTTAATGAGTAATCTGCATTATTAAGTAAGACATCCCAAGCTTCTGAGGATGCTGCAGTCTCAGTAGACATAACTGGAGCATTCCAGGAAGTGGTGTTGTCGAGATCATTCTTCAGCTGGAAAGCTGCTGAAGAAGCAGCCAGTGAGTTTCAGGGAGTATGTAACTGTTGTATTTTACGATGAACGTAGGTTACTTGCACTCACTATGTGCATCTGAAAAGCAAGGGATCCGGAGATCCTCATTTGAAGTACACTGTCATCGTGTTTAAGTGTACTTTTGGTGTAAAACGTAGACCCCAAGATATGGGTTTGATAAAAAAACCCTGATTCCTCCTGTCTGAGAATAGTCTTAGGCCCAAATTTCAAAACTCCATCAGTGTTTCATTTTGCATTAAAGATGGATGAGTATACTGTTAGATCTTACAAAATGGTTCATAACCCCCCTTCTACTCAGTCATTTATGGTTTTTGATGCCCGGGGCAGACGTCTAACAGGAGAAGAGAAGGAGAATTTGGGGCCTATTTTACAGCAGTCATCCTCTACAGATGATGTCATTCTGCATGTTATGGATGAATGGAACAAGGTAGTTACGGCGAAGGATGTAAGAGACATGAAGTTGATAGTCATTAAAGGTAGTCTTGCAATCATGAATATAATTCTGTTTAGATAGTGGGACGCAATCGGAGGTATTCTACTTTTTGAGTAAGAGGGGAAGTTTGAAGAAATTTTATTCTGAGAACGGTAGTTCTCAGGTGTTATCTGGAGTGTGCTTTGCCTCGACTGAGCAAATACGATTATATCACCAATATCCGGAAGTAGTCGGCATCGACTCCATTTATAGCACCAACCAAGGAGGGTAAAGTCTCTATGTAATGATAATTAGATAGGTACCGATTGTTTCAGTTGGTGATTACTGATAACTGCGGTCGCGGACGTCCTGTGCTGTTCGCATGGACAAAGAAGGAGCTGAAAAAGGATGTAACATGGATCCTGGATAGTTTTAGAGAAATCACGCAGGGGACAAGGATGAGGAGGTACCTCAGGAGATCTGACACCTTGCATAAAAGTATGCTTGAAGTCTGCAACTGGAATGCACGGAGTTCGTACAGAAAAGAAACGGAGGCTGCTGTTGCGCAGGTAAAACCTTATAAGCATGACTGCCCGGATGCATTAGTTCCCCTTCTACGTCGCCTAACACCATTTGCAGCCCGTGAGGTTCCTCAGGATTTTAGAACAAGGGGAACATATACATCGAATATGAAAGCAGCGACTACATGCTCATCACGGACAACGATCACACCGTTGAAGTAGATCTGTTATCGTGTGAATGCACCTGCAGAAAATTCACAACTTGTCGTTATCCATGTAGACACTGGCTTCTGGTACATTTAAAGGAGCGAAGTTTCACAGGCTTGTCGCATATACTTATTGCATGTTTAATTCTTATAGCCAGTCATGTGCTTCAGCATTGCCAACGCTGGACTTGGTCACACGTCTCCAACACTTCACGTAGCACATCTGCAATCCCCATCGCAGCACCATGTGATAGGTACATATGTGAAATGCGTAATATACGGTCAAACATCCGTCGCATACTACAAAGATTCGGAGACGAATATGCCGCAGACGTAGCAGCAAAGATTAATAAATTCTGCAGACGAATTCTTGGACGATGAACTTCCGGTTCATTGGCGTCAATACGTTATGCAGGCAAGAGATTATGCAACGCATCCACTGCAGTTTAGTGATAGAAACCTTTCTTCAAGCACAGTGACATACGGGAGCCTATCCATTGAAAATAAGGCTTGATACGAACGACTGAGAGCCCTTTATTATGTCTTCTTTACAAATATACATTTACTTATATCTATTTAGTCTTCAGTTTCATCAAGCATGCTAAAGGGGTTGGTACTTGCAAGTGGGAGTCAGTGAATGATATTATGCGTGAGTACCGCGAGCATGAGTACGTATCCGCAGTCGTTGTTATATAAAATTACGTCTACGTAATAATCATATTACTGTGAATGCCTACCTTAGGGCATATCACATACTTCATGTAGAAAGGCAGGATTAGTTGTAGTAGACGATTATTTTAGCGCAGATGACGGATGGTAAAAGGCAGCCGGGAGATCCTGGTTGATCACTGATGAAAGCAGGAAACAGTATTGGAACCATAATGGACGCTTTGATGTAAGCAAAATAATGTTAGTGGGCGTCTTCAGATGAACAGAAAGATTCCAGCTATCAGAAGCTGAAAAGCTTGCTGAGCAGAAAGCCATGTTGGCGGTACTTTAGGATTCAATTCCTAAATAAGTAATCAAGAGGTAAATCCATTGCTACTCTCTTCGTGATCTTTGCCGCTGAAGATATTAGGCAGGTTCGTCTGCATTTAGGCTTGATAATAGAGCATTCTTGCGTGGATCCCACCACTTCCGGAAGACTTAATAGGGCTTCAGTTCCCCGGGTTTCCATCGATAATAGAAAAGTCCCTATACATTATAACACAACAAGAGAAAGTAACAAACATGCATATATTTAGCGTAAATTCATACAACGATACATTTTCAGCATAACTTCCTTCTGAACGGAGTTTCAAGGGCAGAAGTTCATTGGCTGCATCCACTTGCCTCCATCTAATCAGACAAACACCAACAACGAACCGTCTACCGCTAAGTATTACTTCATGTATTAATCTGAAGAATAAAAGGAAGCGTACTTCAGGTTCACTTTACAACACCCAACTTCTTTTCAAGCTTGTAAAACCAACTGATTTTCTTGTGCCAGCTTTTACGTCTTGCGGGAAACTCCCAGATCTTCGATGTAGTGCCTCTCCCTACCCACCTGGTAAAGCATTTTTCATCTGTCTTGCGCGGGTCAACCTGCTTTAAAACAGAAAAATATTCAATATCATACAGACCAAGAAGGGGGAAATAAATAGATAACAAGGGGAAGCTCAGTGTTAAAATAAAGCGACATACGTGGGGAAAAGAAACCGATTTCCCTATATTACAATCTTTCCCTTTTCTATCTGCTGCTACACCTTAAGTAGCTCTCCACTCAAACCCTAGTGCATTGAAGGGGTGAAAAGCTGAAAAAGAAAACATATATATTTACTTTTCGGGTTTTACATCTGATCTCCACATCATTTCTCCCCAAGTGTCAACTTTGATTCTTAATTGTGGCCTGAAAATGTACCTTTACCCTTTACTCCTCTTTTAACACCCTCCAGAAACACTATCCCCATCCAAGCCAAAATTTTCCATTCATTTACCAGTTTTTCTCATTCGTTCTATTTATTTAGCCGAAAGAACGGCTGTTCTTTGATGTCCTTCTAGACTTCGTTTATTATGATAAACGAGTTGACTTCAGGTCAACATTACGATCTTAATTGTTCGTCATAATAATTTAAAGGCCCAATTATCATCCTTTCATTTTTGACCGTCTTCCTTCACAAGCAAAATAACACGCCAGTTGCAGTTTCTCAAATGAAGACGTATGGCGCAGCAAGCTGTTGTCCAGCAAATAGACTGTAAGAAGGGAGACGAAATAATTAACTGTGTTTCATAGTTTAGAAACAGGTAAAACATACCCCCAGAAAACAGAAAACACGCATTTTCCCGAATCCGCGCGATAACCCATAACAGGCCAGGAGATAGGAGATAAGTAACACATTGATGATACGTAATTGATGATTATAAGTTCCGCCGGTGAGGTTTATTTGTTCAGCAGCATGGGCAGTAACAACTGAGGTAATTAATTAGATTTCGTTTTTCCGACTGAATAGATAGTTTTTCCATAGGATAGAGCTCTGATTGGCCACTTTTGTAGTTGATGGGGTGGTCTTTCAGTCCAGTACATAACATATTTTTGCGAGCTTGCGTAAACAAATTTATTTGTTCGCACCCGCTTTTTGGTCTTACCGAGCAATTCCAGGTCTCTGATTGGTCCCCAAGCAGTAGGTCTACCCACTCACCTTCTGTGGCTTCGGTCGGACCGACGGGCGGTTGGGAGTTAATGAAATTTGCAGTGATTGTATGGTTTATCCAAGTACTGTATTGCAGATACAGTCCTTAAGTGTTGCGTCTCCGGACGGTTGTTCCAACTGATCGTAAAAAGGAAGGGCGAGAAGAAAAGATTTCCGGCGAAATTAAGAGAGAGAAAGTGAGGAAAAACACGGCAAAAGAAAGTAGAAAGAAAAGGAAGGAGATTAGGGGAAAATAATAGTCATATGGAGAACTTTATTAAATTGGATGATATCATAGAGCTAGAGGGAGCAGAAGGTGCAAGTTAGATCATAGGATGGATCGCGGGAATAGAGATAACACACAACTAG